AAGGAGCCCTATAAGAACCTCTTTTCGTACATATTAAACCCATCAGGGTCTTCGGCAGTTTTTGTTTCGGAAGGGCGCAAGGTGTGTGTGCACGCGCATCCACGCACTCGCTCTTTAAGTCCTCTCCAGTGCGATGCCGCTTGGCGGAGGGTTTCTTTTAAACCCTGGGGCTTTAATGCGCCCGAACACACCAGTTTTACGTCGGAAAAAAAAAGAAAAAGAAATCCTGTAATGACGGGGATTTTCCCTTTCAAACGATGGATTCTGCCCCTGGTTTATTTTCACACCTCGTTGAAAACCGTGTCTCGCTGCGCGCCGTGTGCGGACACTTCTGGCAGTCGTGAGCGGTGCGGGGGTGGGCGAGAGGTGTTCATAAACCTGCCTGCCTTCCCGCACCCCCGGCCCTATCCGGGAAGGGACCGTCCCGTCGGGGCTCCCGTGGCCTCGGAAGCGCAGACGGTACCGGGCGTCACTGCCCGTTTCGAGCTGAATTCGCGAGGAAACAGGATTTGCCCTGCACCGATTCCCAGGAAGCCCCTGAAGCTGCGGGTTTCTGATCATATCGCCTCTGTAAAAGCCCGCGTCTCCCAGGGCTCTACCTGGATGAAAGCTCGCCAGAGTGAAAAAAAACAAACCCAAAACAAACCACAAAACAAACCCCAAATTAAAAGAGAGGCAGAGCTGCAGGCCAGCCAGGGACTGCAGGTGTCCGGGCTCCAAATATCCCATGGGAAAGCGCTCGTCGTCTCGTTTGCGAGAGAAAACAGTGCCCGAGCCTCCACGCAGGCCGAGGTTCCCTTTGCGCGGGCAGAGCGTGCGGGGGCAGCTCTTGCAGCTGCTGCTTGTGTGTATTTTATAATTGTTTTTTTGGTGGAAGCCGGTGCATCCCAAAACACAAACTCCCCGTTCGAGACAGATCTCCTCGCTCTACGTCTGGGCGAGACCCTAACTGCACGGAGCGGGGCGGGGAGGGGACACACACCGGTGCGCCCCGGGGGTGCGCAGCATCCGCTGCCCTGCGCGGTGCGGCGCGTAGCTGTCTTAGCTCACCGGCTCTGCTCTTCTCCTTCTTCCCCATCCCCAATAAGCGTTCCCCACAAGTGCCACTGCTGGGTAGCGCAGGATTTTCTTCTGCAGCTGGCAGGAAGGAGCGGAGATGCCGCCCTGCGCGGATGCGAGGGGGTCTCACACCGCAGCCCTCCGCGGGTGCGGGAGCCCTCGAAGCGGCCCGAGGTGGCAGGGAAGGAAAGAATCACGCCCGAGGAAGGGGGTCGTAGTTACAAACTTTCCTAAACTTTCCTCTGCATTGAGAGCACCGCTGTCGCCACGTGGAGAAAAGAAAAAAAAACAGCAAAAACTAAAATAATTCTTCAAAAGTTTTGGTGTTAAAGCAAAACAGAAAAACCACATTTTTTTTTTTACAATAGTTCAGTTGCGCACTTTTTTTTTTACTAGTGGAGTACTTTTAGTTTCTCACTCTGACCTTCAATTTGGTTGATGATTTCTTTTTATGGTGCCCCTAAAGGGCCCGATCCTGTCGCCCCGCCAAAGGAAGTTTTGCTTTTCATTTCACGAGGCGTTTTGCTGGGCACCAGGGAGGGTCACCGGTATTTTCTAGAGGATCGAGGACTTTGAATGCAAGAAACGGTGCCATGTGCTACATTCCCGTGCTGGCTTCCCGCAGGGGGAAGCTCCTGCTTGGGCCTGCCGAGGGGGTCCCCGGGGCAAAAGCCCCCGGGGTGGCCGGTGCCACCTCCCCTCGTAGCTGCGGACCCACGTCGAGCCTGGAGGGAAGTTAGTTCTACTGAGACTCAGCTCCCTCTCCGATCGGGTTTTTGTTCGTGTATGTGTTCACTTTCGCCCGTCGTTTGGGGAAATTCGAGCTTGCAAAGAGCAGACGAATTTTCGGGGAGGATTCACTCTGCAACCTCCCGCTAGCCCTTCCATCCACCCGAGACATCCATCTCCCCGTGACCCACACGAGTTTGAAGTGAAAGAGACAGAACAGCTCCCAAACAATTCTCCGAGCTTCTAAAGCACAGCGATTCACTATTAGCACGTTCAAGTGGCATTTAGGATACTAATTAATACGTATTTAATTTGATCGAATGCATTTTTTCGAGGGCTTGAAGTACGTAACTGCTTGCAGTGACATCTTGAAATAGAAACATAAGCACCACGCTTTGACACGCGTAACCTCCTGAATTCCTTCCCTAGCTGATGTGTGCTCCCAAATATTCAAGCTCGCCGGGATGAGAGCGCTGTGTAAGTCAGACAGAGTGCAATAAAACAGAGCTCCTAAAAGCAAAAATCAGCGGTTTCCGTGCATATTTCAGACCCTTGAGGCCCGGGGTGGCTTTTTCTACCTGGATAACGCGTGTCAAACATATACATGGAGGCTTTTTGCTTAAACTGTGTATGCGATTCCATCGGACTGTTGCTCCGCTGCGTTTTGTTGGACGCTCCCGTTCAACAACTGCATTCGGTCCCAGAGTAGTTCCAGACTACAGGAGCTTTTACACTCCTTTTTATATTATTTTGTTTTCCTGTTGTTTTTTTTTTTTCTTTCTTGGAAGGGGAAAAAATAAGGAAAAAACAAACTTATTTCGAAGTTTTAGAAAACTTCACCTCCGCGCAGTGCACAAGTGAGGGGATACCCGGGGCAGACATGACTCCGTCCCCCGGGTGGCTTCGCTGGTCATTTCCCTGGTGGGGGGCACGGCTCCCTGGCAGCTAGTCCTGCTGGTTTCGTAGCGGGAACAACGGGAAGGTGAGGCCGGTGCGGGGACTCCCCGCACAACTGCGGCGCCCGCCTCCGCACGCCGGGCCAGCAGCGGGTGGCGAGGGGACAGGGACCGTGGGGCTCGGACCACCTTGTCACAGCTACCAGACCTCGACACACCCGTCCTGCCGCAGGGCCGGGCTGGAATAGCCGGTGCCAGGGAACAGGGCGACGAGGAGCCAGCGGGATGACGGCTCCGAGCGCCTGCCCGGGCAGGTTTTGCCCCAGGGCTGGAGTTGTCAGCGGGGCCCGGGGCGGGGCTGCC